GTGATTTGATTTATGGCTTGATTCATCTGTCTATTTTTTCGATTTAATAGACATGTATACGTCCATTCCGGGTAGGGCTAAAACCTAAGGCTAGAAAGATAAATAAATCAGGGTCCTTCCCTCGAAGAGCTCACTATCTAGTAGGGAACAAACAAAGACAGGAAGAGTGAAGATTATTACACAGTGCAGCAAATAAATTAACAGTTATATATGATGGGAAAGGGGCACAGGGCCCCTAGGCACTAGAACAGGGGCCCATAACATCCTCATTAAAGGCTGTATCCGTCCATAGCTATTTTTTTAAAAAACGTATTTATTAAGTTATAATTGATATACAGTAAATTGTACATATTTAACATTTATAATTTGATAAGTTTTCGCCTATGTATACACTGGTGAAATCATCCTTACAATCAAGGTAGTGAACGTATCCATCATCTCCAGAAGTTTCTTCATGCTCCTTTGCCTTCCCTATCTCCTGACCCTCCCACAGCCCCCTATTTTCAGGGAACCACCAATCCGCTTTCTGTTATTATAGATGAGTTTGTGTTTTCTAGAATTTTCTATCAATGGAATTATACAGTAGACACTCTTTTGTGTCTAGCTTCTTTCATTCAGCATAATTATGTTGAGCTTCATCCATGTTGTGTATATATCAATAGTTCATTTCTTTTTGTTGACAAGTAGTATTCCTTTGTATAAATATACCACAATTTGTTTATCCATTCACATGTTGATGGATGTTTGGCTTGTTTCCTGTTTTTGGCTAATTCAAATAAAGCTGCTATGAACATTTGTGTACAAATCTTTGTATGAACATGTGCTTTCATTTCTCTAGAGTCAATACCTAGGAGTGGAATGGTTGGGTCATACGGTAGGTATACATTTAACTTTTTAAGAAACTGTCCAACGGTTTTCCAAAGTGGTTATATCATTTTATGTTCTTACTAGCTGTGTGTGAGAGTGCAGTTCCCCACATCCTCGCCAAGTAAGTTTTAAAAACTTTAACCATTCGAATAGGTATGTAATGGTGTTTAATTGTGGTTTAATTTGCATTTTCTTGCTGAGTGATGATGTTGAGCATCTTTTCATATGCCTATTTGCTACTCTTATATCTCCTTTGATGAAATGTCTGCTCAAATCTTCTGCCCATTTTTTTATTGAGTTGTTCTCTTATTATTGAGTTCCTTATGTAGTCTAGATACAAGGCCTTATACAAATATACACTTTTCATATATTTTCTCCCAGTCTATAGCTTGTCTTTTCATTCTTTTCATAAGAGCAGAAGTTTTTAATTTCAATGTGGCCCAATTTGCCAAAATTTTTCTTTGTGGATTATGCTTTTGGTTTATATCTAAGAAATATTTGCTTAACTGAAAGTTCCATAGATTTTCTCTTATGTCTTCTTATAAAAGTTTTATGATTTTAGGTTTTGCACTTAGATCCTTGAGCCATTTTGAGTTAATTTTTGTATATGGTGCAAAATATGTATTGAAGTTTTTGGGTTTTTTTTTTTGCTTATGAATATCCAGTTATCATAGCACTATTTGTCAAAAGATTCCTTTCTCCACTTTTTTGCACCTGTGTCAAAAATCAATTGTCCATATATATATTAGTCTATTTCTGGACTCTATATTCTGTCACATTGATCTGTTTGTCTAACTTTATGCCAGTAGCACATCGTCTTGATTATTGTAGCTTTATAATAAGTCTTGAAGTCAGATAGTGTTAGTCCTTCCACTTTGTCCTTTTTCAAAGCTGTTTTGGCTATTCTAGATCCTTTGTTTTTACCTATGAAGTTTAGAACCAGTTTGTCAATTCCACAAAAATAAAAACCTGCAAGGATGCTGATTGTGATTGCATTGAAGCTGTAGATCACTTTGGGGAGAACTGACATCTTAACAATATTGAGTCCTCCAATTCATGAACGTGGTATATCTCTCCATTTATTTAGGTCTTCTTTAATTTTTCTTAGTAATGTTTTGTAGTTTTCACTTTATGGTCTTACACATCTTTTGTCATGTTTATCCCTACGTATTTCATAGTTTTTGATGCTATTATAAACATTATTTTTAAAATTTTTCTTTCTGATTGTTCATTGCTAATATATAGAAACACAGTTGATTTTATTATATTGATCTTGTATCCTGCAACCTTGCTGTTACGGGCTAAATAGCGTATCCCCAAAATTTATGTGTCAAAGTCCTAATCCCCAGTACCTCAGAATGTGACTGTACTTTGGAGATAGGGTCTTTAAAGAGGTAATAAGGTTAAAATTAGGTGGGCCCTAATAAATATGACCGATATCCTTATAAGAGGAGGAGATTAGGACACAGACACACACAGAGAGAAGACCATGTGAAGACACGGGGAGAAGATGACCATCCACAGGCCAACGAGAGAGGCCTCAGAAGAAACCAAACCTGCCAACACCTTGATCTCAGACTTCTTGCCTCCAGAATTGTGAGAAAATAAAGTTCTGTTGTTTAAGTCACCCAGTCAGTGGTACTTTGTTACAGTAGCCCTAGCAAACCAGTACACTTGCTAAACTCACTTATTAGTGCTAGTAGCTTTTTTTAGGCTTCATAGGATTTTCTACAAAACAATCATATCATCTGTAAATATAGTTTTAATTCTTCCTTTCCAATCTGGATGCCTTTTATTTCTTTTTCTCGTCTAATTGCTCTGACTAGGACTTGCAGTACAATATTGAACAGAAGTGGCAAGAGCAGACACCTTTACTTTGTTCTTGATCTTCGGGGGCTGGTGTTCAGTCCTTCACCATTAAGTACGATGTTAGCTGTAGGTTTTTTCATAGATGCCCTTTATCAAGTTGAGGAAGTTCCCTTCTGTCCTTAGTTTCATAGCTATGATTTTTAAAATTCCATTGCAAAAGTGGGAAAATGAGAATGCTGCAAAGTTAGGCAAACTTTTCCTAACTTTCCCTACAGTTGTAGATAACTAGTATAGAATATGGAGAAACAGTAATAAGCATGGCTTCTGGACCCAGACTGCACAGGTTCAAATCCTAGCCTTACCACTTACTGGCTGTGGGATTTGGGGGCAAATTTCTCACTGCTTTGTGCTTTAATTTCTTCATCTGTAAAATGAGGATAATAATAGTATCTACCACATAGGGTTGTTATGAGGAATAAAATGTATAAATATTGATAATGTGCTTAGAACAGTGCCTGGCTAATAAGTGCTATATACTTTTTTTTCTCATGTCATTTAAAGTCATGAAAGGCAGCTAGATTCTGCTTCAGGATGCAAGCCAACCATGCTGGCTTCCAGATATGGGTTTTTGCTCCATCTTTTCCCCAAGCCCTGCTGCTCTTGGTGGCAAGGATAAAATTTTAGACTGGTAGAATTCTCATCTAGTTCTACCTCCATCCCAAGGCAGGAATGAATCCCTTTTGCAAGCCACACCTGACCAGCTGCTGGCTGCCTTCCTAGCAAGAATTCTTCAGGCTGACTGTACATTCAGGAAGCCTGAATTTCTTAATTTGGGGGAAGGCCGATGATGTCTGGCTGTGAGGTGACAGATCTCCTAGGGGCTGGGAAGCGAAGTTTCCGTGTTCACTGTATGCATTGCTAGGTTCCTCCAGTTGCTCCCACCATGACACATGACATGGGTGTTTACATCTCCTAGAACAGTCAGAAATAAACTCCAAAGAGTGGGTCTCCTGGGACCTGGCAGCTCCTCTTTCTTGCCACTAGAGAAGCGAATTAGGGGCAAGGATAGGGCTGACTTCTCTGCCTTAGCAACTGCCCAGATCCTGAGTCCACGCCTGAATAAACTCTGGGCTCTTTTCATTCAGCCCCATTGCGGGTGGGAGAGGAATTAGGCTCAATTCTTTCATGGCATGTTTAAAAAAAATTAGAAAGAACTCAACAGTGTCTGCTTCCCAGGAATTCTGAGCTAGAAGATCTTTTCCTGATTGAGCAGCACATTGCTTTGCTCATTTAAACAATAATGTTGTTTGCTACAAGCAAAAAGAAATGGGTTTGCTACAAGCAAAGTAAAAATTTCCATCTAAATTTTAGCTAATAGGAATATAAGGACTAATTCAGGCTTCAGATTTTTAAATCTCCTGAGCCTGGCAGTTGTGATTTCCCTCTTTCCACTAAATGCTGTATTTTAGGATTTAGTGAATAATGCAAAACACAGAGCTTAAAGTTAGCAGGATTCCCCCCACCAGGAATATTAGCCATGCACCTTCCTCCTTTTTTGCTGATGGTAGGGGGAAAAGGCTCTTGAAAATGATCCAGGTACAGGAAACTGAGCAAGGGGTCTCAGGACTTCTTCTTTTCAGGACTATTCTTTTTCTAAAATAACTTTGACCATTAAGTGCAAAAATATGCCAGTCACATTTGCTGTGTGCATTTAGTAACAGATAAATGTGCAACGTAAAGGCGTGTTTATACAACCAGCAATTGCACTGCAAAACCGTCAACAGCTCTCAGCCCAAGCAGTCTTCCAAAATACCACCGCGATGCATTTAAAATCTGCAACTTTGCACCGAGGTGCCCACAAAGCACCTTCTCTGAATTTGCATATTTGTGTACAAGAACACAAACCGTTTGTATAGAATTTTAGCCCGTTTTACATGCTAAAAAAGTCCCCACGATCTGCTTTGCTTAAAATGCACAAGCAAAACTTTATTAAAAACATTTTTCAAAAATAGTTTCATAAAGCTAGACATCAGCAAGGCTTGATGGAGGGGTGGAAAATGGATCGTATATCTTTAACCCGCAGAAGTTAAAAGGCTTTTTTTTTGTTAGCTAACAATGGAAACTTTTTTTTTTAAGTGTTTCCCTCCCTCGGTCTTGCCAAGCAATAGAAAAAAAAGAAGAAAAGAAAAACTTGTTCCGCTGAGTTCAACCCCAGACAGGCTCACAACTTCCTTCCTGCTTTCCTCCCCCAAGCCCCCGCCTTTCTCCCTCCTCCCGCCTCCCTCCTCCCCACCAACCTTCTCCCCCCACCCCAACTTTTTTTTTTTTTTTGATCGCACATTGAACAAACACTGAAGTAGCTCGGAGCAGACACTGACAGGGACAGTATCTCCACCGCTGAGAAGGGCGTGCAGGGCCGGCCCGGAGTCGCCACCGCCCGGATCGCCCGGCCCCTGCCGAGGAGCATTTTCCATTCTTTCGAACTCCCCTTTTTTTGTCTTCCATTGCTTGGTGAGGAAATCATTTCTGAACTTTTTTGCTTTTAAAGCCATCTTGTTCCTACTAGGTCTGCGTGCCTGGGCCATGTAGTCTGCACAGGACCCGGGAATCCGAGAAATTGCAGGTAAGTTTGGCGGCTTTTTAATGGCTCTCGCCTCTGAACCCTCTTTCCCCTCGCCCTCTGCGCTGCAGCGAATCGGAGCGTTCCAGGTTCTGAAAAAGCACAGAGAGGTGGGCTGAGGAGCCGGGGAAGGGGGTTTGATCTGGGGGGTGGCGTGGAGTAGGGGTGCGGGGAGAGGAGGGAGAGACGAGTTGTCGGCGTTTCCCCTGCTCGCCTTCCGGGCTGCTGGCTCCGCGCCGCCTCCCCCGGGGCGCTCCAGGCGTCCGCCGGCTCGGGCCGCCGGGCAGCTCCGCTGGCGCCGGGCGAGGCTGCTCAGGATGCGGAGAAGCCCTGCACTCGGCCGCGCCGCCCCGGGAGTCAGAGCGCGGGCCCCCGGAGGTTTGCAGGGCCGGGGCTCCCGCCGGGCTGCAGCCTCTCACTCCCTGGAGTTCCCCCGAGGGGGCGCGGGTCCCAGAGCCCGCAGGGGCAGCCGCGTCCTGGGGCACCCGGCGTGCGGAGGGCTGACTCGCTCTACCGCGTGCGCGCGCGCGCGCGCACACACACACCCCCCTCCACGGGGGGCGAGCGCGGGGGGCGACCACAGCGGGCGGCGACTATTGGTTCCGGTACAGGGGACGTGCAGCGTCTCGGTCCCCAGCGCGCGCAGGCGCGCCCACACTCACAAAACACACTTGTTTAGGGACTGGGGACAAGGCCAGGGCTGAAGAATGCCCCGGCCCTGGCCCCGCCGCGCGCCCAGGCCTTCCTAGGCCGAGGGACGCAGCCCCAAGGCCAGGGTCAGAAGGTAAAAGGCAGGCACGCAGGCGCCCTCCCAGCCCCCGGCGCAGGCAGCGGCTGGGGGAAGGCAGGTCCCGCGCAGGTTCCCTCCGAGTCGGTCCCTGATGGCCAGAGAGGGTGGAGCGGGGAGATCCTGAAGTCCGAGGGCGGGGGCTGCCCGGTTAGACCCGATGTCACCAATGTTTGCTCAGGCAGAGGAGACCCGGAGACGGTGGATGGGGTGTCCTCCGGCTGACTCCGCTCCCCGCACACTGTACACTTAGGAGCCAAGTAGTTGTACTCGTCCCCCGCCCGTGCGCGTGGCTCAGGAGACGAATCTTAGAATTTGGAATTGGAAGGGACCTCCAAGCGCATCACAACCTGGGGTGAGGGGTGGGAGCGCAGTCGGGAAACGCACACCCCCAAGCGCGCTGGCGACTGAGGCCCCCGGGGCTGTGTCCTCGCCGAGCCGCACAGCCTCTGTAGGTGAGACGTCCAACGGCACCCGATCCCCGACAGATTGGGGATCCCCTACCCGTCCCCCACGCTCGCCCTATGGGGTCCTGACTTTTCTCTTTGTGTCTCCACAGCGGCGCTGTTGTTTACGGCCCTTTGGGCGGGGGCTGAGCCCGCGGTCTTGCCCCCCGCCCGCCGCCCTGGCCATGCCGCTCCATCTGCGCGCGGAGCCGCGGCCGCCGGGCCTGCGAGGCTGAGCCGGGAGCCGCGGGAGGAGGAGGCGCCGGTGGCGGAGCCGGAGCGGGAGCCGCGGCGGCGGGCAGCGCGGCGGACCCAGTACTATGGCTATGTACTGCTATGCACTCAACAGCCTGGTGATCATGAATAGCGCCAACCAGGTGAAGAGCGGCGGCGGCCCCCGGCCCAGCGGCACCGAGACGCCCCCGCCGCCGGGGAGGGCCGCGTTGAGCCCCGGCAGCGTTTTCAGCCCCGGGAGAGGCGCCTCTTTCCTCTTCCCCCCAGCCGAGTCGTTGTCGCCTGAGGAGCCCGGGAGCCCCGGGGGCTGGCGGAGCGGCCGGCGCAGGCTGAATAGCAGCAGCGGCAGCGGCAGCGGCAGCAGCGTGGGCAGCCCTAGTTGGGCGGGTCGCCTGAGAGAGGACGGGCAGCAGGTGGTGACCGCCGGTACCCTCTCCCCTCCGGGGCCGGAGGAAGCCAAGAGGAAGCTGCGAATCCTGCAGCGCGAGTTGCAGAACGTGCAGGTGAACCAGAAGGTGGGCATGTTCGAGGCGCACATCCAGGCACAGAGCTCCGCCATCCAAGCGCCCCGCAGCCCGCGTTTGGGCAGGGCTCGTTCGCCCTCCCCGTGCCCCTTCCGCAGCAGCAGTCAGCCCCCAGGAAGGGTCCTAGCTCAGAGCGAGGAACGAAGGACAAAGTCCTGGGGGGAGCAATGTCTAGAGACTTCAGAGGCCGACTCCCGGAGGAGCGGAGGGGCGCCCAGCCCATGCCTTTCGAAGGACAAGGAAGGAGTGGCACCTGTCCCCGGCCCGGCTGCCGGGTCGGGATCAGGGGCTCAGGGTCCAGCCGCTTCGGCGAGAATGGAGAAGAGAGTCCCTGCCAGACTCCGCTGTGGCTCACCCGTAGCTATGGAAATTGACAAGAGGGTCTCGCCTCCTTTGGGAACTCGGAGCTGTCAAGCCCCACCTTTGGAACTGGTGGGAAGGAACTTAGTGATGACCACAGAAGTGGCAGCGAGAGCCACATCCACTGGACCACACCGTCCACACGACCCTGCCCTCATTGAGCGGTCTGAGAGGGCCCGCGCACTTGGGGGTGTGCACCCCGGGGAGGCCTTGGTGGAGACGCAGTCTCTGGGCAGTGAGACAAGCCTGGCCCCAGAGGGGGGCGGTCCCCGCAGTGGAGAGCCCCCTGGAAAAGTGGAGAAAGGAAAACTGCCCTGTGGCGTGCCAGGCTCCGGGGCGTCTGAAGCGGACGAGAGGCCAGAGGAGAGGACTGTGAACGCGCAAATGTCGGAGCCGTCGAAGGCCCCGACCTGGTTCAGGCCACCCGGAGACCTGGGCTTGGTAGGCCCCGAGGTAGCCCCGAGTGGGGCCCTGGTGGTCAGGGAGCCTCAGCAGCGCTCTAACAGAGTGGATGAAGGGTCTCCCATGCTGGGCTTGCGTGGGGGCAGCAGCTCAGCACAGCCAGGGACCCGGGAGGTAGAAGCAGGAATACTCTCTGGCGGAAAGCTGGAGCCTTTGCCCTGTTGGCCCTCGACAAAAGATCTGAAAGAACCTCCGTGCCTTCCTGGGGACAGGGCGGGTGTGCAGCCTGGGAGCTCCAGGGCTTGGCTGGGCCCCATGGAGGAAGCCAGTCTGGCCTGGACGTGTGGCACAGGGGTACAACCCGAGGGGACTTGGGGAAGCCAGCCGCAGGACAGAGACGCCCACCCCAGCCCAGAGTTGCTCTCCCCAGATCAGAAGGACAAGACTTCCCTGAGAGAGGCCTGCAGCCCAGGCAATATTCCTGCCGTCATCATCACAGACATGGGTGCCCAGGAGGACGGGACCTTGGAGGAGGCGCAGGGAAGCCCTCGGGGCAGCCTGCCCCTGAGGAAACTGTCCTCTTCCTCTGCCTCCTCCACCGGCTTCTCCTCCTCCTATGAGGACTCGGAGGAGGACATCTCCAGTGACCCTGAGCGCTGCCTGGACCCCAACTCCGCCTTCCTGCATACCCTGGACCAGCAGAAGCCCAGAGTGGTGAGTCTTGCCTTGAGATTTTTCTAGACCTTGTCTGCTTTCATGCCCCATGTGTCCCCTGTTTTTCTTACTTTCTGCTGAGTCCTGAAGACTCTGACCAGGGCCCTGGGGCAGTCAGAACCTATGATTCTCTTCAGGTGTGTTTGCTGGGGAGGTGCCTAGGCGCTGACCACGCACTTGGTAGCTTGCACAGTGAATCCAAGTCACTTCTGTTGCTATTTCCATGTACACCTTAAGAAACAGTTTTTTAAGGTGCCTCTAGCACCACTCATTTCCTGGGAAGATAATATTCACGAGTGTTACGAAAAATTTCCTGATTAATCCCCAAAGATAGTGAACAGAGCTGCTAAGTGTAGTTTTTGTCTGATCAGGTGAAACACTTAATTCTGTGATTGATTTAGGCAGAGGAAAACTGACAAGGAGACCTCATTGAATTAAGTCAGCCCGGACTAACAGGCCGGGAACATGAGTGATGTGATTCTGTGACAGGGCCCTGAAACCTGTGGATGTGGTTGTGGCTGATCTGTTAGGTGAACAACCACCTGGCCTCAGTAAGTTAAGTCAGGACATTGCAATGTTTGTGGCGCCAGAGTGAGTAAGACACAGTTTGATGTATGAATTAAAATGAAAACCATGCTTTCAGCTAAGTCGCCGGTTTCTTTAATAACAGAATGTTATAGTAGGTTGAATTGCCTGAGATAGGCACCCGGGTGGTAACTCCTAACGGATATACTTGTTGGCTGGGACAGGTACATTTTCGGGATGTTTTCAAGTTCATCTTTTTGGATTCACCGTACTAACATCTTGCTCTGGCTATGGCAGTGGACAGGAGTTTATTTCTGTGACATAGTTAATCTCAGTCCTAGGCTGTTTTCACTTTGAGGAGGATCATATCTTACAGAAGACGTAAGAGTTGAAGCTAGCACTTCTGAAAAGGTCTGGACTTTCTCTCAGCTTTTCCAGAGCATGGGGAATTTCCTAGTTCAGCGCGCACGGGTTCCTGTGCTACCTCGTGGGAGAGTCTGTGTCTTATTGTAGTAGGTAGCCTTCCAATCTCATCTTGAGGAGCAGATGCTATTCATTGTACCTCAAGAACTTAAACCACAGCAACTGAGAACTTCATATTTCTGCTCGACATCCTTCTCTAAGGTATTTTTGGACCTTAAAGGCATGTTTCTCTCTGACTCCCACTTCAGAAATCACAGTCTGAATTTTTGAAGACCAGACATTTCTTTTCATGAAACTCTGCTGATGATCGGGAGGCAAATGTGAATACAAAATCTGACCCCACTTAGCCTGGCATTTTGTGGCCAGGACATGGGCACATCACCTTTGGAGGAGGGAGGGTCCACCTGGAAGGGGATGGTGGTAAAGGGCAGGTGGAAGATGCTTCTCACTGAAGGCATGGCCCAGATTATTCTGCCTTCTTGGCTACAGTTGAAGGCCTAGGGAATGAGATGGTCCTCTGTTCCACTCCTCCCATTTGCTTTTTTTTTTTGGTGAGGAAGATTAGCCCTGAGCTAACATCCGTTGCCAATCCCCCTTTTTTTGCTGAGGAAGATTGGTCCTGGCCCTAGGCTAACATCTGTGCCCGTCTTCCTCTACTTTATATGGGACATCAGCACAGCATGGCTTCATAAGCGATGTGTGGGTCCGTGCCTGGGATCTGAACCTGCGAACTCTGGGCCGCCAAAGCAGAGCACGGGAACTTAACTGCTATGCCACGGGGCCGGCCCCTTCCTTTGCTTTTTAAACCCTGAAACATAGCCGGTACAGCTCAAGTTACTTCAACTTGTTCTCCAACTTTCCATTCGCCTTTTCTAGTGGTGGATTAGCAGCTCCTATTGGCTGCTTCTCGAAACAGTTTGTCTGTCCTGATGTTTGAAAAGGGCTCTTGTCCGGAAGGGAGTTAAAGGGGAGATAAATCTTGACAGGTGATAATTTTGTTTCATTTGCTCGAGCGATGCCATCAACCAGAGGGATGAGTGGTGTTCTCAAGTTAGCTAACAGGTCCAGAAGCAGAAATGAGCCTGTCTGTTGTCCAGCCTACCTCACACCTTTAAATAGGTTTTCAGACACCCACGGAGTAAAGCCAGGGAGACATCCCCTACCAGCTTCACTCTCTGAATCACGTGACACTGATTGGGAGAGTGTGTGGGGGGAGGGTGGGTAATCAACTGGAAATTATGGGATCCTAGGGACTTTTGAACTTTTGGTTGACTGCTTGCACCATAAGCTAAGTTTTCTTTCTCTTGTACAGATTGTTATGGTGGAGCCTTATCTGTGACACCAAAACTTCTACTCATTGGGTCAAAAATCACTTGATTACCTGATACTGATATTTTATCTACAGAAGGCCAAACATCTTGATTGGGCCTTTTGGCTGGTTTTTTCCGTGTTTTATAGATAAAACCTGAGCCCCTGCTGTCTGAGGTCCTACAGTACCAACACTCTGTTCTCTTCTCTGCACTTTGCTGCTTCTGTTCATACTGCTGCGTTGCGCTCCAGGTGCACACATCCTCACACATGCTCACACTCACCCATGCTCACCCTCACCCGTGCTCACACAGTTGCTCTCACACGCTCACACTCATACATGCTCACCCTTACCTTCACATATGCTCACACTCATACATGCTCGCCCTCCCTCACACATGCTCACACACAGCCTCAAACACGCACACACTCGCATGCTCACCTTCACACATGCTCACACTCATACACGCTAACCCTCCCTCACACATGCTCATACACATCCTCACACATGCTTACCCTCACCCTCACACATGCTCACACTCACACACTCACCTTCACACATGCTCACCCTCACTCACACACACTTACACACGCTCACAGACACCCTTACACTTGCTCACAGTAACTCACCCTGACACATGCTCACCCTCACCCATGCTCACCCTCACCCATGCTCACACACTCTCACACTCAGACACACAGGTTTGAAATTGCATGTTCAGCCTCCAGTCACACAACCAAGCCCTGGCCCTGAGACCAACACTGAGAATTTTTTTCTGCTGCTCTGCCTTTCCACAGAATTAAACCTTTCAGGCCTCGTGGGGCACATTCTTTAGCTCTGCGGAGGCATGGCTGTGTGTGATGCTGTGTGCAGGCGGAGGTGACAGCCCAGAGAAGCCTGTAGCCTGGCTGCTTTGTTACCTCTCCTGCTGTCTGGTCTCCCTGGGGGAGGTCCCAGAGCCAGTACACAGGGAATTCAGAAGGCCTCCCTATATATAGTTAAAAATAAAGTGAAAAGCAAGTTGTTTGGAAATGCACTTTGAAAATTACTTAACCATTTAGATTATGCAAATTAGCAAAGGCCTTTTGCCGGGCCGGGAATGTGATGAGAAGGCCAGCTCTCGTCATTTGCTTCCATGGGTAGGAGCTGTAAGGACATCCTCAGAAATATGCAAAGTGCTTCAGGCCTTTCCTACGTCTTCGGCTGAGCCTGACAGATATGCCTGTCCCCGAAATAGAATGTTCCAAGCTTTTACATCTGCCTTTCTGTTTATAAAGCATCAGACACTTGAAATTTGCTGGGAAGTAATTATCTTACCTGCCTTGTGTTCAGTGGCTTAAATTAGGCATATTCACACTCACTGTTCTCTGTGATCTGAACACAAGTCAATTGCACTGAACAAGGATGGTGTTCTCTCTTTTGTTCTTTAAGACAACTAAAAATTAATCAGCACTTCTTTACTTTTCTCTGTTATTCCATTCAAGAGTATCTGGGGCGTTGAAACATCAGGCTTAAAGTACTGTTAAAATATGCATGCATCTTACTTTAAAAAGCAGATTTTATTGATTTATTCCAAAATTGTACTATCAATTGTGTGTACAAAAAACAAAACAAAACAAAACGTTGGCCTAGTTACCTGGGTGAATATATAAAGAGTGTAATACAAAATCCTTGGCTTCTTGGTGCTTACTGTTTTTTAAGGGCCATTAGAATTTTGTTTCCTTTGCCTTTTTTTGGTGTATTGACTTGTTTTGTTGTCTTTTTTTAATGAAGAACTAAAAACTAACTCATACACGTACTAAAAAATTCAAAGAGTTTAAAATGGTTTTATGTGGTTTTGAAAACGGTAAAATTTTTATTTGGGGGTAAACCAAATTAAAATTTAAAAGCCTTAGAGGGATATTTTTAAAAAACGAATCTAGTGGTGAGTACTTTTAAGTAGAAAATTCTTTTCTGGATGAGAATATTGAAGGCCCTGGTTTGTGGGGTTATCAGGTCAGCTTGCATATGCTGTTTTCTTGAGATGCGGCGGCCTTCTCTCTCAGGTATGTGGAGAGGATCTTGCCAGCAAGGCCTCAGCACCTTTCAGATCTGGGAGGACCCTGAGTCATTTATGTGAGGTTCCCAGTGTTACTCTGGTCTCTTTAGGGATGAGGAAACCAGGACTCAGGGAAGCAGAGGGACCCAAGGACGCACTCGTGGGCCCTGCCTCTCGGCTCAATTTCCTCCTTTTAAAATGTGCATATCGCATGAGGATGATCCCATGAGAGTTTGTCTAGTTCTAACTCGCTGTGACTATATAATTCTAGATATCTGATTCAAACCCTGACGTGTGTGAAGTATGTCACACTTCAGAGTGTCCGGAAGTGTGACAAGATTTCTTTGGTCTGGACCTCAGGCCCTGAGGCTGAAACTGGGCACATTTAATTTTGTGCTTTTACTAAGACCCATTGATTGATTTGCCTCTCTTCTCTCTCTTTACCGGAAGAATGGTTCTTTGTTATTTCACATTGAAAAAGCATCATCAGAATAAATCATCAGTACAGTACTCAAGATTCTCATTAATAATTAGACTGATATTAGAGGCTGTGCTGGGAGAATGCCAGAATATTAACCTGAAAAGTAAAAGATGCATTCTGTTATCTGAGGGCTTTGGCCTCCTCAGACGTGTAAGTTTAAAAAACTGAGGCTTTGCCTACACAGAGCCAAAACATCACTTCAAAAGACTTTGTTTTATCAAAGA